TATATCTACTCTATCAAGTGCCCTTAGAATATTATATATTTCAAAAAGTTGCCTCTCATTCTTCTGAACTCCATCGAGTACAAGCCAAACTGGATCAACCTCCCCACACAAGAAAATCCTTCCATCCTCAAAATCAGCCTGGTGACCCTTTCCTGAACTTCCTCCAATGGCAGTACATCTTTCCCGAGATAAGAAGACCAAAACTGTTTACAGTGTCCAATGTGGCCTAATTAGTGCCTTGCATAGTTTTAGCAAGATCTTCCTATTTTCATACTCCATCCCCTTTGAAGTAAAGGCCAAAATATGGCAAAATCAGAAGCAATGAGATTCTCGATGTTGCAAAGGAATGTCAGATTCTGTAACAAAGTTTTGATTGGAGACAAGAATCCTACTAATGAGTGGCAAGAAGCCTATTTGCATGTTTTTACACGCTACTACACACTGATATGAGTATCCTTTTGTCTCATGTATTCAAAAGAAACTTGACAGTGACAATTCCTGACATAAAGTTAGAATAAGTTCCTGGTGGATCCAGGTCACTGCTTGATCCTCTAGGCCTTCATCTGTGGCATCAGTCACCAAAGTCTCAGGTTTTGCTTCAACAACACACATTCTGCAACCTCCACCCTCCCATTTGTCATGAACACCCATGTAGTGGACTGGATGACGTTGCATCTCAGGGCACCGGAACACAGCAGGCCAGGCAGCATCAGAGGAGCAGGAAAGCTGACGTTTCAGGTCTGGACCCTTCTTCAGAAATGGGGGAGGGGAAGGAGGCTCTGAAGTAAATAGAGAGGTGGGGGCGGTGATAGAAGGTGGATCATGGAGCAGATAGGTGGGAGAGAAGACGGACAGGTCAAGGAGGTGGGGATGAAGCTAGTAAAGGTGAGTGGAGGTAGGAAGTTGGGATGGGGGTTGGTCAGTGAGGTGTGAGGAGCAGATAAGTGGGCGAGAAGATGGACAGGTCAAGGAGGCGGGGATGAGATGGGCTGGTCTTGGGATGAGGTCAGGGATGGGGAGATTTTGAAGCTAGTAAAGTCCACATTGAGACCATTGGGTTGTAGGGCTCCAAGGCGGAAAATGAGGTGCTGTTCCTCCAGTTACCAGGTGGTGTCGTTGTGACACTAGAGGAGGCCCAGGATGGACATGTCATCCAGGGAGTGGGAGGGGGAGTTGAAGTGGTTCGCGACTGGGAGGTGTTGTCGTTTGTCGCGAACCTAGCGTAGGTGCTCCACAAAGCGCTCTCCGAGCCTCCGCTTGATCTCACCAATGTAGAGGAGGCCACATCAGGAACAGTGGATACAATATACCACATTAGCGGATGTGCAGGTGAACATCTGTTTAATGTGGAAGGTTTTCTTGGGGCCTGGGATGGAGGTGAGGGGGGAGGTGTAGGGGCAGGTGTAGCACTTCCTGCGGTGGCAGGGAAAGGTGCCGGGGATGGTGGGGCTAGTGAGGAGTGTGGAGCGGATGAAGGAGTCGCAGAGAGAGCAGTCCCTCCGAAGGCAATAAGGGTGGGGAGGGAAATATATCCTTGGTAGTGGGGTCAGATTGCAGGTGGCGGAAGTGGTGGAGTATGATGCGTTGAATCCGGAGGTTAATGGGGTGATATGTGAGGACAAGGGGAATTCTGTCTTTGTTTTTATTGCGGGGAGGGGGTGTGAGGGCTGAGGTGCGGGAAACGCGAGAGATGCGGTCGAGGGCATTTTCGACCACTGTGGAGGGGAAATTGCGCTCCTTAAAAAATGAGGACATCCAGGATGTCTGGGAGTGGAACTCCTCATCTTGGGAGCAGATGCGGTGGAGGCAGAGGAATTGGGAATAGGGGATCACATCCTTGCAGGAAGGTGAGTGAGAGGAGGTATATTCTAGGTGGCTGTGGGAGTCGGTGGGCTTGAAATAGATATCAGTTTCAAGGTCGTTACCAGAGATAGAGACAGAGAGGTCCAGGAAGGAGAGAAAGGTATCAGAGATGGTCCAGGTGAACTTGAGGATGGGGTGGAAGGTGTTCCAGGCGAACTTGAAGAAGTTACCCTCCTCCTTCTGGAAAGACCTCAGTGGATCTCTATTTCAGTGTGCCCTTCCCGTCCCCCATTTCTGAAGAAGGGTCCAGCCCCAAAACGTCAGCTTTCCTGCTCCTCTGATGCTGCCTGGCCTACTGTGTTCCTCCAGCTCTACACCTTGTTATCTCAGACTCCAGCATCGGCAGTTCCTACTGTCCATGAAGATTTTGGGGTCTCCATGACTGACAAGGAGAGCTTGTGACTACCCTGAAACACGGAGTCTGTTTCCTTCCACGCTCATCCAAATCACAAGGAAAGGAAAATGACTGCCACCCCCAAGTGACAGCAGTAAAAGTTTCATTCTCTGAGGAAGAGGAGTCCATTTTGCACGATGTGTGGCCCTTCAAAGGACAATAACATTAAACAGACCCCTTCACAGTCCGGGTGAAGGACGTCTATTATCACAAATGCTGTGCATTGACTGACCATGTCTACTAAAAGTTGTGACCCAAGCAATTTTGACCACATTACTCAACGTGATGAATTGATCCTGCTGATAGTAATGAGCCACAATAAATATCTTGTGGCCTGGAAAGATTCACCCTCATTGACAAACCAGCAATCACTTTCCGATATCATATAGTCTGCGCAAAATGCTGGAGTGGTTCACTGCGCATCTTGGGCCTTAAAAATTCCACACAATTATCCTACATACAAAGTTGTCTGTCTTAGATACTGTGAGGACTGAGAATGAGGGGGAGAAGTCCTCATTATTGCTGCCACATGCACAGTCTGCTTCTGTATGTGTGCCAAAAGAGTTGAGCAACAAGCATCTGAATCAGGGCAATGATCTGCAACGTCCATGTAGAGGCTTCTCAATGGCCTCCTTTACAGGGATCCCATGTCCCAATATTTTGAGAAGACGTGTTGAACGCTATTGATGTGTGCAGCTGAATGATTACACAATTGAGGAGCTCCACATTCTGGATGTTGCGCACATAGGCCATTGGATCCAGCCACTGTTTCAACTGTATGAAGAATTGCTGCACAGATGGCCGAAGAACACATGCATCCACAAGCCTGGGACCAGCACAAACCTTCTTCTTGAGACATTCTTGAGCATTTCTTTGGGCTATGGACACCACGCTGACATGGATGGCAACTTCAGGCCAGGCTGGAAGGGTCTGATGAGATAGTCTCCTCTGGCAATCCTGAGAAAAGAGGACAGCTTCCTTTGCACCACCCCTTCCACCAGGACCTCTGGGTCTCTGTTAGCAAAGCAGCAAGCTAAATTTGTTTCACAGCCATCTCTGGGGTACCTGATCTGGTGCACACAACATTTTAAATATGGTGCCACCGGTGGGGATCCCTGGTGGACCTGGCCGTGGTGAATACTTTTGCTGTTGAGCACACAAAGTGAGGTGTCACAGAAGCACACCGCATGGCGAAGCAACAGACAACATCTTGAGGAAACTTGCTCACTGAGAAAAGCCCTCGTGCTACTCCACAAGTACTTAAGGCTAAATTTTACCAAACATCAGCAGTGATTTTCATCCAGGGAAACACAAAGAAAAATGAATACTGATAAAATCGCAGGCTGAGGGTTCAGAACATCGATGACGTACATCCCTTACGAAGGGACTGCAGGAAGGAGATGAAGGAAGTATTTTTGACAGAAGCACCACTATCACATGACATGAAATGTGTATAAAGTTAGTTTGGTTGAGTACCAGACAATAGACAGATGAGAAGAAAAGGCCAAAGATGAAACAACGGGATTATAAATGTAATTATAAATTTTCATGAGATTAAGGGAGAAAGTGAGATCATGAGTTTCAGATGGCAGACCATTTCTTTGATCTCATTGCCAATTTTTCCCCTTTATTCTTGTTGGGTTATCCTACGTATGCTGGAGAATGTTTTTGCTTTTCCTCATCAGGGCAATGGCTCAAAATGCTGCTGCAGTCAGTCAAGGGGAAGAGGAAAGAAGAAGAGGGAGGGGAGCCCCATAGCTGAAAGAAACTCAGCCTCAAAGAAAACCAGACTGGAAAAATGTGGAAAAAGACCAAGATGACTGGTTGATGAGAGAGGATGACCGCAGAGAATCAGTACAATTCTTGCAAATGGTCGAAGCAGCCAATACCTCAAAGGCAACAAAAATAGAAGTTGCTGGAAATGCTCAACAGGTCTGGCAGCATCTGTGAAGAAAAAATCAAAGTTAACGTTTCAGTCCAGTAACTCTTCCTCATAACTGATGGTAGCTGGGTTTATATACCTCGGTTTATATACCTCAGAGGTTCATCTTGAAATCCCTGCACTGGGAATATTTAGTGACATTAGGTTATACAAGAGAACATGAGGTTGATTCTGCATTTAAACATAGCCAAGACAATGATTATTGGACACTGGGCAAATCCACAATTAATAATTCACAGACTATCACCAACAATAGTCAAGGGCAAGTGATTATGATTTCCATCTTTTGTTAGCTTTCCCAGAGTAGACCTTTGCTTGATTTTAAATGTGGTCTGGAATAATTTGTCTGCACCTTGACAGACCCTGTTTGAATTCTTATTATGAACTAAAATTATAACATCCCTGGCATAATTGTTGTGCGACATGCAGTTTTTCCTTGTTCAGATTTCTTCAATGGTTATTTTCTGGAAAACATAAATTTGTCATCATAAATTTTAAGCTTTCAACAATTGTCTCATCGAGATGCTTCATCCCTTAACAAACCAAATGCAGGAAAACAAGGTGCATTGGTTTGAACAGAGATTATCTTGAGCAAACAAATCACAGTAATGTTAAACTCTCCTTATTCTTTGCAAATCAAATGAAAATACTTGATTCATTTCCTCCTGCACTGACGCAGGGAACCACAGCTTTGTAGACCACATTTTGTTTGGGATCCTTTGTCATGTTCTACTCATAAAATCATTTCTCTTTATAACTGTCTGAATTGAAACTGTGCAGACCATACTAGAGCGACAACACTTTACTGATTCAAGGGACTCAAGACATTGTGGAAGAGGTAAGTGCAAGATTGCTAAATTATGTGAATCCTGAAATAAAATTAAAGTGTCTTACAAATACAGAGATGGTGACTATTGTAAAGTCAGTTTTAGATTTAGCCTGCTCACGATTAGGAAGCGTAATGGCATAGTTAACAGAGCTGTTCAAATGATGAATGAGATTAGATAGATCAAAACTGTTTTCATAGCCAGTGACTAGATGAGATGGATTTCACATAATTTTCAAAACAACCAAGGGAAAAATGAAGAAACTATTGATAGTTTTATCTAATGTGGAATACACTGTCTGAAAGAGTGATGAAAGCCAATTCAGAACTAACTTTGAAGAATGAAGTCGATAAACATATTTAAATAAAATATTAGCAGTACTTTAAAGGATATGTCTCAATTTCAATTGGATATATCCCTCAAAGAGCTGGTGCAGGAAGGATGGACTAAGTGGTCTTGATCTGTGCTTTAAGATTTCATGAGTTCATTCTTAGAAACAGACAAGAAGTTACCATGACGTTAAAACTCTTATTTTTCAAGTCTATCCTTTGTGTTCTTGAATATTTTAGTTTTCAGTTTGTCTGGCATCGACCTAACTTCCACTCTCTTCCAATTTACCCAATTATTCATCAGTCTAACTTAGAAGTTTCACAATATGTGTGAGGGGTGTGAAGACATCAAACAGGATATCAGATGAGAGATAGTAGGAACTGCAGATGCTGGAGAATCCGAGACAACAAGGTGCAGGGCTGGATGAACACAGCAGGCCAAGCATCATCTGCTCCTATGATGCTGCTTGGCCTGCAGGATATCAGATGAATTAGATTGACCTATCATATGAGGTGATCTCAGCTTCCAACTGAGGTTTGCAAAGTGAAGAGAGTTGAAGGTGGAGAGGTCTGAGAATTGGCCAGTAAGAGTCAATTCAGGCAGGTTTCCTGAGCTCGTAGCTCACATAGATCATGAGTCACTTGCCTTTGCATGCAGCAAGCAGTGGTTGAATGGAACTTTCAGCTCCATATTATTTCTGTAACATTGCAGTGTTTGTCTGGCTCAATTGTTCCTGCTCTTGCTTGAGTCATAACACATTAACTACATGAATGGTGGCTCTACTCACCATATGAGCTCCCGGCAACATCGACTGTTCCTGGAAAACAGCATCGTGGAAATTACACAACAAGAAGCGATTGACCTTGATACTGCTGATGCAGATCAAAACAAAACATTTTGAGAATTATTGATGGATTGTCTAACCTGAATCCCAGCCACCACTTAACCCTGTGCACAGATTTCTGTTAAGTGTGGGGATGTGACAATCTCAGCTCAGAATGAAACGTTGTCATTAGATTAGTCTCAATGCACACCATTACTGTGTGGTAAATCATTCTGTGAGTTAGGGACTATGGCTGCGGTCACATGCATCTGATGATCTATGTATCGGGTTGTTTCAGGTTGACAACAGCTCTCCTGGGATCAAAATGGTGACATGGGGAAAGGAATGCAAAGGATGGCAATGGCTGAGAAAGGCGAGGCAGTCCAGGACAATGGTGCTAGTTATTGTTTATATTGCACTTTTTCTGGACTACACCCTACTAACTGTCATTGGTAAGTTCAAGTCTAATATTATTTGTGGAGAACTGATTAAAAATATCATTCTGGTCATCAGAAGAGGAGAACAATATTAAAGGGCAAAGGCTGGAAGAGAGTCAAAGGCCTGAGTTTCCCATGCACTGAGGGTCAGATTTCTCACCCATTGATGGATTGAGTTTCTCACACACTGTTGGACAATTCAAAATTTCCATTCACAATATGAACAAAGGAACTGAGGGCATCAATGCTAAATTTCCAAATGGATGGAGGGGCAGGTAGTGTTGAGGACACATCCAGAACTTGGACAGGCTACGAGAGTGGGGAAAGAAGTGGCAGATGGAATACAATATGGGGAAGTGTGAGGTTATGCACTTTGGTCAGAAGAATAGAGGCATGAACTATTTTCTAAACGGAAAAGGCTTTGGAAATCTAAAGCTCAAAGGGACTTGGAATTCCGACCTCAGGATTCTCTTAACATTAAGGTTCAGTTGTCAGTCAGGAAGGCAAATGCAACATGAGCATTCATTTCAAGAGGGCTAGAATACAAGAGGAGAGAGATACTGCTGAGGCTGTATAGGGCTCTGGCCAGACCATATTTGGAATAGTGTGAGGAGTTTTGGGCCCGTATCTCAAGAAGAATGTGTTGGCATTGGAAGGTGTCCAGAGGAGATTTACAAAAATGATTCCGGGGACAAAAGGATTATCATATGAGGAGTGATTAAAGACTCTCAGTCTGTACTTGATGAAGTTTAGAAGGATGAGGGGGGATCTGATTAAAACTTACAGAATATTGAGGGGCCTGGATAGAGTGGACATGGAGAAGATGTTTCAACACGTAGGAGAGATGAGGACCTGAGGGCACAGCTTCAGAGTGACAACCCTTTAGATCTGAGATGAGGAGGAATTTCTTCAGCTAGACAATGGTGAATCTGTGGAACTTATTGCTGCAGAGGGCTGTGGAGGTCAAGTGATGGAGTGTATTTAAGATAAAGATAGATAGGCTCTTGATGAGTAAGGGGATCAAGGGTTATGATGAGAAGCCATGAGAATAGTGTTGTGAAACATATGAGCCATGATCAAATGACAGAGATGATTCGATGGGCTGAATGGCCTAATTCTGCTCCTGTATCTTATGGTGTTATATGCTGAGTTTCTCACCCACTGATAGGTATCTCATGGACTGTTGTGTTGAGTTTCTCACAAACTCTACCCAGCTCCTAACACTATCCTCCTCCTCTATTCGTGTTTGCCACACTTGCAGCCAAGAGACCAGGTGGACAATATAATCTCAGACCTCACACAGTGTCTGTCCTGAGCCACTATGGGAAGGTCCAGGTTGAGTTATAGAACATTACAGCTCAGTACAGGCCCTTCGGCCCTCGATGTTGCGCCGACCTGTGAAACCAATCTGAAGCCCATCTAACCTAAACTATTCCATTATCATCCATATGTTTATCCAATGACCATTTAAATGTCCTTAAAGTTGGCGAGTCTACTAATTTTGCAGGCAGGGCATTCCACGCCCTTACTACTCTCTGAGTAAAGAACCTACCTCTGACAGCTGTCCTATATCTATCACCGCTCAATTTAAAGCTATGTCCCTTCGTGCTAGCCACCACCATCCGAGGACAAAGGCTCCCACTGTCCACCCTATCTAATCCTCTGATAATTTTCCAGTTTTTTCAAACAATGTTCCTTCCCTTTGTCTCAGTATCTATTTGATCAACTTGCGTGTTAGCCTCCAGAAGAAACAATGTGGGAAATTAAGTTTGCAATTCACAGTTTTTGGCTGGCAGGACATGTGATCAGAAGAACATTTTATGTTATTGCGCTGCTTCCCACACCGTAACTCTGAATGTGTAAAAATGTGCAGTTAGATTTCTCCAGTAGTATCTCCAAACATGATCTCTATGTTGTTACAAAGAGCCATTGTCTTTTGCACCAGGAGATTTCAGAGAGCTGAACCATTATCACAGAGACTATTGCTTGACTATATAGTGGCAACAAAACAGGGGATTAAAGTGCACCATATCTCAGCTGAGAGAATTATAATCTTCACTCAGTATTAATTAACCTTTCTTTCTGTTTCAGTACCCATCATCCCCAGTTTCTTGTATGAAATACAGCACTCAGAAATGAATGGGTCAGCATCATCAAAGCAGCCTCCAGCTCTGCCCTCCACTCTCTCCCCTGACCTCTTGTATTCCAGTGGTGGCCAACTTACAACCGAGACCATTGCAGGAGCTGACAATGAGACTAAAGATTTTAAATGGAGAAACACGACTGAAGCTGCCATCCCAAGCCTGAGGCCAGGCACTGAAAGAGCCCACTGTGGTAGGAACAAATCATTTTTGGCAGAGGAAAATGTTCGTGTTGGCTTGTTATTGGCTTCAAAAGCAATTGTGCAGCTCCTTGTGAATCCATTAATTGGACCACTGACCAACAGGTAAGTGAGCAAGCCTTTGCACCAGGAGGCAATTGAATCTGGGTAAATTCATACACACGAGGTACCAAGCTGCAAGGACCAAAACTGTACCATACTGTGCATGGTGTCTTAATGTGTAATACCATGTATGGTATAACATATTAAGCCATCAAGCTTGGCCTTCAGCCCTCGGTTTCCGACACAGCAGATCACCAGTCATGACCTAAAGTAACAGAGTATCTGCGGCTGAACCTTGTCTCTCATCAAATAAAATAAGACAGACAGTGCTGAAGGTTGAGCTGGACCTCTTGTTGGCTCTTCAACTGAGGTCACGGTGTCTAAAGTTGAGAGGCCTTGCAGGGATTCAACAACTTCCTTTCCACATTTCCTGCCATTGTTACAACAGAGAATTTACAATGGATCTGTTGTACCTGTGCTGTCTGAATTGTGAATAGAGCTTCAGCAGGGGAGTTCTGAGCTCTTTGTCTAAGACTGCACTTTATGTTCCTCTTTTCTCTTGACTGCAGGTCGTGTCTCAAATCTGGCTTTCCAAATAAGAGAATTTTCCAAAAATCACATACTTTTTTAATGCTCCATGCATCAAATTTAATTGCATAACTTTTGAAGTAAAAACTACACTGAATAACTCAGCTAGGTGCTGCATCAACATGGTGTGGATCCAGATGAGTTAATGGCTTCACGTGCTGATCTGTGTTCAATAGTAATTCATTACTGTGATGAATTACTATTGAACAGGAATCATCGTCATATTATGGAAGAGTTTACAGCCAGTTTACACGCTGCAAGATCGCACAAACTGCAGTGAAGTCCCCCTTTCCTCTAGTTGTTTTAGTATCATTAGGGAGGATTCACATCTATCGCTCAACCATTGTGAGTCTCCAGGTGGGACTACACTCTCTAATTCCAGCAAAGTATTGTTGGTTAGACAGGGAATGTTGCTGGTGTAGAGGTCAGTGCCACAAACTCCTTCCTGGGATGGTGCTTTTCTGTGGCAATCTGAAGGTGTAGTTCTTCAAATGTCTGTGCCCCATGTGCACACGCTGCTTCCAGTTACTCAAGTCAGTCTGACAATATATTTAAAGTGAGAGCAGAAAGATTTTTAAAAAGATTTTAAAAAGACATGAGAGGCAATTTTTTTTTACACAGAGAGTGGTTCCTGTGTGAACTTCCAGAGGAAGTAGTAGATGAGGCTACAGGTACAATGTTTAAAAGACCTTTAAATAAATACATGAATAGGAAAGGTTTGGAGGGATATGGGCCAAGTGCAGGCAATTGAGACTAGTTTAGTTTGGGATTATGGTCGGCATGGACTGGTTGGACCGAAGAGTCTGTTTCCATGCTGTATGACTCTATGAAATGATCTCTATCTGTCATGTACGACCCTTGATCCCACCCAACTAGACGTGACCTTGAACCGCTCAACCCCAAAACAAGCAGTATCTGAAATCAGGCATGGCCTCAGTCCTGAGCTGGCTGGTTTTGAGACCTCTACCTCTAATTCTAGACCAAAACAGCAACAAGGTTCCGAGTACTTCAGCTCCTCTCTCAAACAGTAACAACAGCATAAAACACCTTAATTGTGCTGCAAGCCAGAGGAATAGGTGAGCTGAAAAGCACAAATTTGGAAGTTAAATCACTTTATTTTCCTTTACAACTGAGAACAGTCATACAATTTCATCTTTAGAGTTTGAATCATGTGAAACAGCCTTCTTTCTAAGATCTGAAATTAAAAGGCATCCATTTACTGATGTTGAAATATCTTTGCCTTTGTATTAAAGAATACAACTTACAATACTGAGACATTTTCCTTGTAAGGAGCATGAGGATATTTAGTTAAAGCAGCAATGTGAATGCTCCTGGGTCATACATGTTTTCTCATTCTTTGTATCAAGTGTATTTTCTTCCTTTCAGGATTGGATATCATCTTCCAATGTTCACTGGTTTTGTGATATTGTTTGTGTCAACAATAAGTGAGTACAGATTGAATTTCACAATATTAATTTGGAAATAATGCCAGGGACACTGCAATATAATAGTGGGGCATATTTTATAACTCATTTTCAGCTCTTGAAAAGGGACGTTATAAGAGGCTTGTAACAAAGTATTTGTGAAGTTTGTTTGTGGGATGTGGACATTGCTGGCTGGGCTAGGGGATGAGCTTCTTGCACTGCTTGCAGTCTATTTGCTATAGGTGGATCCAATATACTGTTGGGGAGGGAGTTCCAGGATTATGACCTTGTGACACTGAAGGAATGCCAAAATATTTTGAGCTCTGGATGGTGAGTAGCTTGAAGAGGAACTTGCAGGTGGTGATATTCTCGTGTCTCTGATGCTCCCTTGTCCTGCTAGCTGGTTGTGGTAATGAGTTTGGATGGTGCTGTCGAAAGAGCCTTGGTGAATTTATGCAGTGCATCTTGTAAATGGTACTCAATACTGCCACTGTACATCAGTGAGGGAGGAGTGAGTGGATACTTGTGGATGTGGTGCAAGTCAACTGGGCTGCTTTGTCCTGGATGGTGTTGAGCTTCTTGACTGTTGTTAGAGCTGCGCTCATTTAGTCAAATGGGCGTGTTCCATCACAATCCTGACTTGTGTCTTGAGGATGGTAGAAAGGCATCGGAGAATTAGGTGGTGAGTACTTGCTGCAGGATTCCCAACCTCTGACCTGCCCTTTTATCCATTGTATTTACGTAGTTGGCCCAGTTCCATTTCTGGCTAACCATAGCCCCAGCATGTTAATAGCAGTGAATTCAGCAATGGTTATGCTACTGAATGACAAGGGGTAAAGGTTAAGGTCTCTCTTGTTGGAGAAGATTACTTGACAACCCAAACCTGGATATTGAGCAGTTTTGCGACATTTGGACACAGACTGCTTCAGTATCTGAGGAGTTGCAAAGGATGCTTAACATTGTATAGTCATCAGCAAACATCCTCACTTCTGATATTTTGTTAGTAAGAAGTTCATGGTTGAGCTGAGGACATTCCCCTGAGGAATTCTTGCACAGATGTCCTGGAGCTGGGATGACTAACCTCCAATAATCATGGGTGGGTGGGGGAGAATAGAAAACATGAGATAATAAGCAGGAGGCTTCCTTGCCCATCTTTGACCTGATGTCATGAAACATCTTGGGGTCTGAAATCCAAGTTGAGGATTCTGGGGCAACTCCCTTCTGACTGTGAATCATTGTGTCACCACCTATGCTGTATCTGTCTTGCCAGTGGGAAAGGACATACTCAAGGACGGTGATGGGGGTATTGTCTGGGACATCAATAAGGTATCATTCCAGAGTATGACTGTATCAGGCTGTAGCTTGAACAGTCAGTGAGACAGCTCTCCCAAGTTTGGCACTAACCCACAGATGTCAGTAGGGTAGAGCAAAAGGGCTGAGTTTGTTGTTGTCATCTATGGTGCCTTAGTCTATTCCAAATGATCCATCTGGTGTCATTCATTTTGTGAGTCTTCTGTGAGATGTTATAAGATTTTGAGATGAAGTTGAATGTTATAAACTGGCTAATAAATGAAATGAATAGGAGAAATTGAGCATATTCTCTAGTATGACAGCTATTCCATTCATGCTCCAAATTAAAAATAATTCAATGAACAAAAAGAAGAGAGGAGAGTAGAAAGTTAGGATAACAAAATAATGCTGCATTCGTTTCACTTCCAAACTGTGTGGTTCTTCACACTGAATTGACAAAGTGAATCCTTCTTTTTTATGGAAGAACACAGTTTCACTTTGGAATGCCCAATCAAATTCTTGGTCTTTTCATTGGCTTCATTTAACTTTCCTCTCCTCTTGTTGACAGTGTATGCTTTCTCGAACACCTACTTCTGGTTATTTGTTGCCCGAGCTCTACAAGGAATTGGCTCGTCGTGTTCTTCAGTAGCAGGTATTTCTTATGGGTATTCAGAAATCCCTGGTGAAGGGCAAGGTAACATAAAGAAGAACACTGAGGGACAGAGAATAGTAATAGGATGTTACTCAACTGAAGTCTTAAAAGTTGAGAGATTATGGAAAGAGGTAAAAAGGTTAGGGATGCAATGCATTTTGAGGTCTGGGGGAAAGAGTATATTTGAGTAGCAGACTATATAATGAATCTTGATTTCAACAGAGTGTAGCGATAATTGAATTGTAGAATAACACAACATTAAAGTTGGCTATTAGCTTCTGGGACAGAATTTTCCCCTCCCAGGAGGTGGCAAGAAGTGAACTAATGGGGTGAGTAGGCTCTGGAGAGAAGCTCATCAACTTCTCACCACCTCAGCAATTATGTTCTGGGCAAGAAGATCCATTGGGAACTTTCTCAACTCACCAGCAATTAAAGTGCTCAAATGGTCAGGGCCTCAACCCATCTACCCCCTCATCACCAGCCTATCTGGCTGTTGAGAAAAGTGGCTAATTTCCCAAAAGGGAAACAATGGTGACATATCTGCTCTGTTGGAGCTTGTGGCTTCAATTGCTGCAATATGGGGCCAATTGGAGGCATAGATGGAGGCAAGAATGTGGCCTCTGAAAGTCGAACTATTGCTCTTGCCACAACACCTCTCTGCAAAATCCTCACCTCAAGATAAGAGGAAAGAAATGATTCATTTTCTTGCCACTGGATCCCAAAGGAGTGGATCACAACAGGTTGATGTTACAACCAAGGAGGCCTCTGAATAACCAGTAGTTCCTGGCAACTCTAGTCACCAATGTCAAGGGACTGATAAGGTGAGATACTCAGGTGAGTTTTCTCAGTGATCATGGCAAACACCATTTTCAAAAAAATCCCACTGTGTCTGCAACGACAGTTCGAAAAGGTGATCCAATTAGAGCCATGCCCTTTCCTTACCACAATTTTTTCAATTGCCTTTTACAAATTATGATTGAATTTACTTCTTTCATGACAGGGAGGACAAATAGCTTGTTGGATGCTGTATTTGGGGAAAGAGGAAACAATAGGGGGAATTTTAAAGGATCTTTGGGTGCTGTTGTAGAAATAAAGTTGTTTGTGAAAGAGAGGTTGAGAAAGATGTGACTGAAGGATTGCCAGCAGAAGACAAATGCGTTTCTACCTTTCCAAAAATGTGAGTTAGATTGAGGAGGAAAGGAGCCAATTGGAGTTTTGATTGAGGCATTCAAATCATGAGTATCTGAACAGAGTAAATAGGGAAAAACTGTTCCTGCTTGTGAAAGGATGAAAGAAAGGGGAAAGTTATTGGTAAAAAAAAGTGAAAACAACATGAGGAAAAACCTTTCCACACTGCAAGTCATTAGATCTGAGATAAAAACAGAAAATGCTGGAGAAATGCAGCAGGTTTGGGTCTGAACTGAGTTCTGATGAAGAGTCACATTGGCCTTGAAACATTAATTGTTTCTTTCTTCACAGATGCTGCCAGACCTGCTCAATGTCTCCAGCACTTTCTGCTGATATTTCAGATTTTGAGCATCCACAGGACTTTGCTTTTATTAGTTAGGCCTGGAATGCTTGAGGGTGTGATGGAGGCTGGTCCAGTTGAAGCATCAAAAGAGAATCAAACTGTTGTCTATGAAGGATTAATGTGTAAGGTTAGAGGGGAAGGATGGGAGAATGGTCCTCAGTGAATTGGTCACTCAGACAGTTGGTGTACGATCAAAGGACCAAATGGCCTCCTTCTGATCTGTTCTCTGATTCTGTTCTGAAGAAGAGTCAGATTGACTCAAAATATTAACTCTGTTTTTCTCTTCACAGATATTGCCAATCCTGCTGAGACTCTCCAGCATTTTCTGTGTTCGGTACAATTGTGTTATCTGTGTCTTTCAAGTTTCAAAGAATTTTTTATGAGCAAACTCCGTTGTATTCTAAGGTGACATAACATTATAAGCACTGAGGTCATGCAATGTAGGAGGTTAACGAAGGCAGAATGAGATCATCAGTCGCTGGAACTGACTATCATGGTTGAGAGCAGAGTCATGGGAAATCACAGGAAAGACAGAGATAAAAACAAGTTAGAGGAAGGCTATCAAGTAAATCACATGCAGAGGAAATAAGAAAGACATGATCATAAACTTTGCCTCACCCCAATATCAGAAAATTATGCCATTCAATTCATCCAAGTTTTCGAGAGCAGAATTGTCCATGTGAGAAACCTAAGGAAGATGAGCATCAGTGTAACAGCCCAAGACTGAAACAATCTGACAATCATGGATTCGGCCAAACTTTCAAAGTTCTGAATAATTTCAGATTTGACAGTAACTTACTTTTTATAAATTACGACTGCGAGGGCAAGGGTCCAATGGTGATACATTTCGGAGAGAATTATCATTCTTTGGGAAAGAACGAATAAAGAAAGTTTAAAACAAAAAGTTGTCTCAGAAGAATGAAGCCATTGTTTTAGGGGAGTCTCGATGTACACATTGTAAAGATGATGGGAGGGAATCAACAGGAGTGGGGTCCAGAATGGTGGAATGGAAGAGGGTGGGATTTATATCCTGAACATATCCTTTACAGAGATAGTAAGAACTGTCGATGCTGGAGTCAGAGATAACACAGCGTGGAGCTGGAGGAACACAGCAGGCCAGGCAGCATCAGAGGAGCAGGAAAGCTGGCGTTTCGGGTCGGGACCGTTCTTCAGAAATATCCTTTACATCTGCCTGCTTCTGCAACAATTAACTAAATTAGATTTCAGACAGTAGTAATAAACTGGGTAAAAAAATGAAGAGAAGCCAAATTGCTCAGACCATTCAGCATAAAATATTGAATTTTTGGTTCAGACTGGTCAGGCATTCTGAATATTCAGAAGCTTTCAAATGTGACAGTGCGATGGTGGCAAGTTCCCTGAAATTCTACGCAACAATAAAGTAAGAGGTCACATGACACCAGGTTATAGTCCAACAGGTTTATTTAAAATCACGAGCTTTCAGAGCACTGCTCCTTCATCAGGTGCAAAGCTCTGAAAGCTTGTGATTTTAAGTAAACCTGTTGGACTATAACTTGGTGTCATATGATTTCTGACTTTGTCCACCCCAAGTGGGCAGACAGGCTAAAGGTGACTTCCAGTTTTGTGAAAAGTAAGAGCCAGCACAGTGGCTCCAGTGGTTAGCCCTACTACCTCACAGTACCAAGGACCAGGGTTCAATCCCAGCCTTGGGCAACTGTCTGTGTGGAGTTTGTACATTCTCCCTGTGTCTGTGTGGGTTTCTTTCAGGTGCTCTGGTTTTCTCCCACAGTCCAAAGATGTGTAGGTTAGGTGGACTGGCTATGCTAAATTGCCCATAGTACCTCGGGTGGGAAGCTTTTTGAAGGGCCAGTGTGTACATGTTGGGCTGAATGGCTTGCTTCCATACTGTAAGGACTCTATGATGCTTGAGTTTTTCATTGTTAGACTTGTGATTTCTTTCTCTGTAGGTTTGGGAATGTTAGCCAGTTATTATACAGATGACAATGAAAGAGGCAAAGCCATGGGTATAGCACTGGGAGGCATTGCTGTGGGGGTGCTTGGTAAGTAATTTGTACATTACACATTGATGAAACTATGTACTGCTACAGTTGAGCGGAAAAGAGCAAGATATATTCTCACATCTACTTCCATTCTGTCCAGTTCCCTTTGAAGGGTGCTCAGTCGAAAGCCATACCCTTAGTCCCTATGTTTAGATCTTGATCTCAGCAAATTTATTCAAGTAAGCAGCAGGACAAAACGTGGGAAGAAAAGCCAGAGGCCAGAATTCTGAAATGTTCTCATTCGCCTCCCAATCTTTAATTGTCAGCAGCAGAGACAGGGTAATACTCAAGACTGAATAGGATGAAATTAACAAACCTTTGTCCATTGACTCGTATTTGCAGCTGGCTGTTGGTAAGCTTCATTTGGATTCACTCCATTTTTTTGTTACTTGCAGTTGGAGCGCCTTTTGGAAGTGTGATGTATGAATTTGTGGGAAAATCATCTCCCTTTCTGACTTTGGCAGCCTTGGCTTTAATCGATGGAGGTTGGTATGATTTTGTTAAAGTGTGAAACACTGCTGATTTAGTGAGAAAAAGTTCATAGACAGAACGTTCTCCCAAATGAAGACTTCATTTCATGTGAATTAGGTAGTTTATCTAATTATCAGGCACAAGGTACATTCACCCTAACCTGACAGCCATGCACATTCAGCACTGTCAACATTTCTGGTAACAGTGGGATGTTCAGCTGAGTAAGGGCCAGTTTGTTTTCTGAAGCAGCCGATGCTTCAACTATGGGATGTTGGCAACTTCAGTTTAAACTGCTTCTGTGGCAGCAAGGATTCTGACAAGTTACTATGTGACAATCACAGAACAAACCTGCTATTCTAAAATAACAAGGTGTAGAGCTGGATGAACACGACAGGCCAAGCAGCATCAGAGGAGCAGGAAAGCTGACGTTTCGGGTCTAGACCCTTCTTCAGAAATTTCTGCCTGCTTGGCCTGCTGTGTTCATCCAGCTCTACACCTTGTTATCTCAGATTCTCCAGCATCGGCAGTTCCCATTATCTCTGCTATTCTAAAGCAGTCCTTTTAAATTAGTTTCTTTACCTACGATTTGTGACTGAAATACAATGTGACCAGTTGGTCAGTGAACTGTCACTGGGGTCAGTACTTGTGAGTCTCCAGCACAGCCATGAAATTAAGAAAGCCTCACAGCAGAGTCGGTCTTCTCCCGACTGTGGGTGAAGATGGCCAACTAAAGACAGCTTGAGAGCAAGTCAGATCCCTGCCTCCTTGTTAGGCAATTATAGAAGGGGAGAGATTTTTAAAATGAAACCACAGAATCTAACACTTTGTTTTCCAATAATGAATGGGCTTTCAAGGTGCCACCCTAAGTGACCTTCTGTTGTACAGTCACCTTTGAATAGTAGCATTTGCATGCTTGAAGAAAGACAATATAGCACAGTACATGAAGAGAAAGTCACTTTGAAAGAAAATTGATGTCCCCGAATGAGACGCAAGTTGACACATTCCAGACTGCATTTCACAACCTCGGAAATTAATTGAGAGAAAGGTAACCTGGAGGACACCACATGGCACCTGGGAATGTCTATCATTGAAGACCAGCCCAATACAAATAATTAATCATTAAATTAACTCATAACTTTCTTAAATATCATGCTTTAACAAACAGCGTGACTGCTAACTGGCTTTAATTATTGAACTGGCTGAATTCCTGTTCCTATTTACCCAGCTCTCCAGCTCTTCATCCTTTATCCCACAAAAGCTATTGCAGAGGTAAGCAACCAGTTTTTTTTCTCTCCTCTGTTAGTACACTTTCAACACCATGGAGTCCCTCACAACAACAAGCTGCATCCATACAGCACCCTAAAACAACTGATACTATCCCCACCACAAGGGACAGATACGACACAATTTGCCACCAACCTGCACAAGGAAATATTAGGATAGGTGGGTCCAAGGGGTTGGTTTTAAAGCTTGTCTTGAAGACAGGGAGAGAGTTTTAAGGAGGAAATTCCACAGTGTGACCTAAACCTAGAGCTGCAAATGGAGTGGGGACAGGAAAATTCAGATTTATAATGGACCAGAATTGCAGGAACACAGATGTTGTGGAGTGTTTTTCAGCTTAAGAAGCTTACAGAGACAGGCTGGGGCTCGTTATGGAGAGATGGTAACACCAGAATAAGAATTAATCATTTGAGACTGCAAGACCAGTAGATCAGCCTAAATCAAAGAGCAGATGGGTTTATGCGGATTATGTGAAGTGAATTTGTTAGACATGTTAGCAAAGCAAGAAAAGGTGATTGACACAAAGCAATGAAAAGAAGGAAAATAATTTGGGAAAAAGAGTTGGAAAGTAGTGTTAAGACGAAGGAATTTTAGCAAGTCTTTGAAGATGTGTAAAGAGGTAGCAAAGATCAAGAATTTGAAAATAAATTCCAGCGGGCAGGATTGTACTGGGAAAGAACAGGAATGGAAATGACAGAGAGACAACATAAATCTCAAATATCACATCTATCAATTCGGAAAATGAACGTTAAATATCTATAACAAAGCTTACTGATCTCACTCTTTCCATCTGTAGCTACAGAACTAATTCTCCAACATGCTGAATTATAAAGGTATTTGAGTAACAGAGTTGAAACTCAGTTGAGGAAGTCATCGAATCCTATTTTGGCATTCTATCAGGAATTTACACTTTATCTGAAAGATATAATTACAATTTTAACATGTAATCCTTCTGGTCATTCTGTGGACATGTCTTCATCCCCAAATATTACAATGGAGTTTATGTTTTAATATAAACAATCTACAACAGTAGCATTTGGTCTCCTCTGTCAGAATTCAAGATGACCCTGGATGAGACGGTAGCTTGCCTAACTATTTCTATTGCTCTTGTTACAGAGTCAGAAAGGGTCATCACTGTTAACATTGTTGAGAGATCCCTACATACTGATTGCTGCCGGTAAGCAGGTCCATTCTTTGTGCATTATACCAGATAATAGTGAGACTATTTCCAGAAAATTTTGCATGACTTTTGATTTAGGATGGTTTTCAGAAAGCCTGGTTTCTGAGACATTCTGCAGATTTGTTTGTGAGCCAATAAAGTATGGATATTAATCTAGAAAGTGGACAAGAAGGCAATTCTTTCACATACATGTGCCTCAAAGCACGTGCTTCTACAAATGTGTTCGACAGGGATATTTCAGAGATTGTGACACAATTAGAATCCACAAAGTGAAAATTATGATTGTGTCACAGTTATGCTGCTAAACTAGTAATCCAGAGGCACAGATTAATAACTCAGGGGGGTGCTAAGCCAAATTGCCATCATTTTTACTTAATTTATCACTCACAAGATATGGACATTGCTGGCCAGGCCAGCATTTACTGGTGATCCCAAATTGTAGACAATAGTTAAGAGACAACCACATTGGTGTGGGTCTGGAGTAAAATGTGGGCTTAACCAGGCAGAATGGTTCATTTCCTTCCTAAGGACAATAATAAACGAGTTGGCATTTTACAACAATTGACGCTGGTTACATGATTGCCATTAGGCTTGCTTTTTTGTTCAAGTTCCAGATTTTTATTGAATTCATTGCTGCAACTACAGTACTTAAATTCAAGACCCTAGAATGTAAGCCTGGTTTTCTAAATTTTCAATCCAAGGATATTACCTACACACAGCACCTCCTCTAATCTATAGCTGTCAGATTGTTGGAAAAAGTCTCCTGGTTCACGGATACTCTTTAGGGAAGGAAATCTTCCATCCTTGATGATTTTCACCTTCCCTCTTAAATGGCCCTCCTGGGTCTAATCAAACTGCTCACAGTGGTTCAAGGAGAAAAAGGTCCACTGGCACCTTACCAGGACAAACAGATATAGGCAAGGCAACAAAAGCTGGCCTTTTCAGTGACCCCTGAGAATGATTTTTAAAAAGGAAAACATTGCAAGAGAATATCACTTTTGTTTTCAAACATTGGGTTGAAGAGTGGCTGGCAATTTGTCATTCTGAGGCGCCAATCCAGAATACAGGGACAAACCGAGAAAAAAGGTGCAAGAGTAGGCCTTTGGTCCATGGAGCCTGTTTCACTATCCAGTACGATCAGGGCTGGTCCTCTCTCTCAATGCCATACTACTGCTCTCTCCCCAGACCCCTTGACACATTAAGTGTCTTTGAAACATAGAAAACAAGAGCAAGAGAATGGTCGCCTGGTACATTTAATGGTCAACTGGTGAACCTTCTCTAATGTTCTGAACACAGTCCTTTTGTTATAAATTCACTTATCCTCTGGATGCATGGAACTGCATGCACATAAAATTTATCCAAGCGCAGTGGTGAGACAAAGAAGGATTGAATCATCTGCACTTGAGATTGCGTGCACAGATGAAGGAAACTCTTCACGAAAGGAGCTATTTGGCTTCTTTCTCATCTGAAGTGGCGTGGACAAGTTTTTCATTTGCTCAGATTTTCAACATTGAGTTGTCAAATGCAAATTTTAAACACTTCTTCTCACAGAGGGTTCTGAATCTTTGGAACTCTCTTCCCCAAAAAGTAGTGAAAGCAGACTGTTGGAATATCTTTAAGGCAGACATGGATAAATTCTTGGTTGGCAAGACAGTGAAATGTAATCAAGGGTAGGAATATGGAGTTGATATTACAACAAGATCTTATTCACTGGTGCAGCAGGCTCATGGTCCAAATTTTCTACTCCTGCTTGTAACCCCTTCGGATATATGTATGTATTGACTGGAAGTCGGGCTTGTTATTTATTTCAAGGAAGCCTGTGCTTCTCAAATATGGCCATCGCAATGCTGGAGCAGGCCCTACCAATTTGGATGATGAAGATCATGTGTTCTCCCAAACTGCATTTGGGTATGTTGACACAAAAATCAAGTTAAAACCATTGTTTCTGTGGATATGAAAGACTGAGGCAGAGTCACCTAGCTCATCCTTTTCCTGACCTGGATTTTGTTCTCTTCCGGCAGGTTTGGCTTTCCTGCCATCTGCTATCAGCTACTTGATGGGCACAAATCTCTTTGGTGTTCTTGCTAACAAAATGGGCAGGTAGGAGCAATTTGGGATCTATACATCAAATGCCCCAGACACAAAATTCAGTCATTCTTTTACAGTCTGATATTTCAGAAATAATAATATCCTTTGAGATGACATTCACACTATAGACTTCCTACAACAGGAACAACACTTCAGAAATATTGAATAAGTTGTGGGGAGCATTGGAACATTCTGAGATGGTCTAATGCATGCAATAAATTCAAGTTCTTTCTTTCTAATTCTGAACTGTAGCTGCTGGACTATGCTCCAAAACCAAATGCTCAACTCCGAAACCCTCCCCACAATTTTGTTCTGAAGGTGATGACTTGTGCTGAATTACACTCCGTCACTGACCCAAATAGCCTGAAAGTGAGTGCTAGAATCACAGGCAATTCCACCCTGGACTCATCGGCACTTTCCAACAGGTGATCTCTGATCCAGCACAGGAACCCTGGTTTATTTGTTTTGCCTGCTCAGAGCCAGAGATACTGAATTCCATTGTACTTATCCCCAGTCACTGTTTTCCCTCATCCCCGCCATCCGGCAAAGTGTGGGAATGAACCGAACAGCCTTTTCGGTTGAACAGGCTGAGTTAGGTTGAAATTTTAATGCAGAGCATCTTCAAATATTCCTGAACGGTCCAGCTAATTACAGTTTACAACAAAGTGAATCTACATTGGGTCAGCTGTTGGTACTAATCTGGTTTGAGTGAGTTTGTTCTACTACTACAGTGTTATTCAGCAATCAAAGTCAATTATTACTATACATTTATCTGTTGATGGTACAACAGAAACCCTCATCCTACATGACAGAAAACTGCCAGCAATGGTGCAGGTAAAAATCTGATACCTGAAAAAAATCAGTGTCCTGAAAGCTGTGTACTTAATAGTTAACTCTCCTGTTATCTGCACTTCCATTCCATCACTGCAGCAATGATCAGCCAGAGTGTGCTATGCCACTGAAGAATTACGATAAGTTTATTGTGAGCTATGCACAACACAACCACAATGGTCACATTATGATAGCACCTGTAACCCTCACATTATTTCATTTGAAAAAAGCCCTTCTAACAGATATTACGGCTGTGTAACTGTATAAACTGAAGGTATTGGAGTGTATTGGTTATGTTACTTTGCTGATACTTCAGAGACTAGGTCTCATTATCCAGAGAAGAGAGTTCAAATCCCATGGTGTTCTTCAAATTCAGTTTTTAAAACTGGAAATAAAAATGTGTTAGCAGTAAAAGTGAAACTGTTGCAGAAATCCAACGGTCTTCTATTGGTGTTAATGGGAGGCTTGCCTACTTACTGATCTGCCTTCAGCCATACACCAATGTAGATTATGCTCAAGTGTCATCTGACGTGTTCCAGAAACCCGCTCAGTTGTTTGACCTGGGCAATAAATGGCAGAGCGGCAATAATAACATGCAGTTTTCAACACCTTAAATGAAATTAACACAGAAAATGGGGCGCAGAGCTCAGACAGAAATTAGGAATTGTGACCAAAAGCTGAAGGAACAAGTTTAAAATAGATATCTCACATGACGCAACTTTGGTAGAACTTCTCAAAGTGCTTATTGATAAGCAGAGCCATGTGTAATTGATGGCAAACTCCTCCAATGGATTGAGAATTGGCTGAAAATTGCAGCCAGTAGATTTGGATCTGCTTGAAGACCAGTCACCAGTGCTGTTTCTCATTTAAAGGACTTTACTGTTTACTAAATTTATCAATAATCTGGAATACTTGGAGGATAAACCACACGTTGTGAATGACACCAAAATGTATGTGAGAGTTGGAACTATAGCGGAGCTCAATCACGGCAAGCAGATCTTATTGGATAAATGGACTAATCTTTGACAAATGATGTTTAACTTCTGGATGTGTGGTGTTTCTCATTGGGTAGATCAAATGCTAAGTATATTTCCACCCAGAAGGAACAGAATTAAAGATAGGTGAAAGAAAGAGATCTGGGTGTATTAGTGTATCTTTCTATAAACGTCCTTGTGCAAATTGTGAAGCTATATCTATTAAACAGATAGAGGTTACTCAACAGAGTACAGCTTCAACTGAGTTCTTGGCAATTCTGTTTTGTTCTTGTACGCAAGACAAGGCAAGCAGCAAGATCTGAGAGCTGACATCTCAAGGTATTAAGAGGTAAGCAGAGAGTGATTGGTTGGTAGTTTGGTAAGTTTTACATTTGCTTCTCTCGAGTATGGAAGTAGTACTGTATTAACTTCATTTGCCAGTATCCTGGCAAATCAAATAATTTGGGTTTAAATGAATAGTGCAGGCAGAGTTCAGATGAAAGAAAATTGAGACGCTTCATAATAAAGAACAAGGGATAGTAACTTCTCATTTATAGTTGTATTTTCATTCAATTGATCCAAGATGGTGTCGGAGCAGGACTTCTGAGCCAGAGCTCGTCAACTCTGCCCATTTCTTCTTCTTTTTCCTCTTTACATGTTTCTTTTTCTTCTTTCTTCTTACCTCCTTTCCACGGGCAGCATCACCAATGGCCAAGGTGACGCTGGTGTGGACTCCCGGCCTCAGTGCACACTCAGGACTTCAGCGTGGAGTCACAGTCTCAAATGAAGTGGCGCCAACTCCCATCCTCGAGGTGAAGCCAGTGTGGACTCCTGGCCTTCTGAGCCTCGAGGTGAAGCCAGCGTGGACTCCCGGCCTTCTGAGCCTCGAGGTGAAGCCAGCGTGGACTCCCGCCCTTCTGAGCCTCGAGGTGAAGCCAGTGCGGACTCCCGGCCTTCTGAGCCTTGAGGTGAAGCCAGTGCGGACTCCCGGCCTACTGAGTCTTGAGGTGAAGCCAGCATGGACTCCCGGCCTACTGAGCCTCGAGGTGAAGCCAATGCGGACTCCCGGCCTTCTGAGCCTCGAGGTGAAGCCAGCATGGACTCCTGGCCTTCTGAGCCTCGAGGTGAAGCCAACATGGACTCCCGGCCTTCTGAGCCTTGAGGTGAAGCCAGTACGGACTCCCGGCCTTCTGAGCCTTGAGGTGAAGCCAGCATGGACTCCTGGCCTTCTGAGCCTCCAGATGAAGCCAGTGCGGACTCCCGGCCTTGAGTTGAATCCAAAGCAGGCTGCAGATGAGGCTCAGCATGAACTCGAGCAAGGCCCAGCATAACTGGAGGCCTGACATGGACTTGTCTGCTCCATCTTCCCTACTTGGATAGACTGTAAATGTGAACTTTTTATTTCTTTATTCTTCTAACTTATTCCTAAGATTTTGTTCTGACAAAACTGCACAGAGGCTGATATTGCATCACCAAATCACCCTTTATTTACTTATGCACAGTACACTGGCTCGGAGTCAGTCCCCTGAACTGAGGAGATTCTGAATCCCCTGCTAATATTGGTCAGCCAGGGCCTCCTGATTGGCTCAAGTTAACAATCCCAATCAAAGATCTCGTAGTCAACAAACTCCACCAGGTTCCAATCACTACAGGTACCCAGATACTTTTTATACCTAAGATGGCGTGAAAATCTGTAATGGTGGACTTTTTATTTGTTTATTTTTCTAATTTATTCTGAAGAATCTGTTCTTGGTACCTTTGTACCTAAGATGGCACCATAACTGGCAACTTTGCAAACTTTTCACTGCGACAATAAACCTAATTCTTTTTCTAATTCTATAAGTCATGGAAGGTTTTAAACAAGGGCATGAGAATTTTAAAATGAAGTTTGAGGCGGGGAAGGGCAGAAACTAATAAAAATCGGCAGACACGAGGATGATGGATGAATGGGTCTTGATGAAAGATAAGGAAAAGGCAACAGCTAAATAAGATCTTCCAAACACACAATTCCGCAGTTATTTCATTTCAGTAAAGCTGCAGTGATTGAAAAGGTGAAAAGGTGAAAAGGTGCAAACTTCATTTCAGGGTCTTATTCAACTCAAAACAATCACACTGTTATACTTCAAAGAAATCTGGAACAACAAGACTTCAGTGACTGGAATATGCTCCCACAACAATTCGCATCAGTGCAAACCTTTTTAAAAATGCTTCCTCTCTGTGTATCTGCAGGTGGCTGTGCGCTCTGATTGGAATGGTGCTTTTGGGGATAAGTATAATCTCTGTAAGAAGTTTGGTTTGATTTTAAGCTCTTTTCACTTGACATTTGTGCCATTTTTATTTCTGTTGAGTGTGTGTTTTTCTTGTTCCTAACCTAATACCATTTGTGTTTTAGGTTCCTCTGGCAACCAACATTTTTGTGCTCATTGTTCCCGGATGTGGAGTAGGTTTTTCACTGGGTTAGTAGCAGACCAATGTGAAGACATCTCAAGCCAGAATCAGACAGTAGGCAGGGCCAGTTACCCTTTAATCATCTATCATCTTACTAGCAGCTAGCTAGTTAGCACTTCATAAAAAATTATGTCTCTCACATTTCAAATCTTAGAAGTGCCAAGTAAAGGATGAACAGATAGTTCCCTTTTCTCCTAAAAAGGAAGGGCAGAGAGCTAAAAAGGTGAAAAATCATCCATGGTTTAACAAGGAACTCAAGGATAATAGAAAGGCAAAAACTAGGGCCAATCATACTGCAAGAGTTAGTGGCAGCCTGGAGGATTGGGAGAACTTTAACTGTCAGCAAAGGGTTGCAATAAACAAAATCAAAAGAACTAAGATGAATGACAAAATGATACTCACAGGAAACATAGGTACTGATACCAAAAGTTTCTATAAGTATATAAAAAGGAAGAAAATAGTGAAAGTAAATGTTGGCCCTTTAGTGGATGAAAATGGCAAGTGAATAATGGGAAAGTCAGAAATGGCAGAGGCACTAAACCAATATTTTGTCTCTGTTTTGGAAGATAATAATTTCTTCCCAAAAGCTGCAGTTATGACAGAGGAACTTGGTGAAGTTACTATAACTAGGGAGAAAGTATTAAGTAAACTGTTGAGATTAACCGTAAATAAAGCCCTGGGGCCTGATGGCCTGCACCCTAGGGTTTTAAAGGAGGTGACAGCAGAGACAGTGGATGCATTAGTTATGATTTTCCAAAATTCCCTGGATTCTGAAAAGGTACCAGTGGATTGGAAACATACTAATGTGACGCTCTTACTCAAAAAAGGAGATAGACAAAAACTTGGGAAACTATAGGCCAGTTAGTTTGACTTCTATAGTGGGGAATCATAAGGGAGGAGATAACTGAACACTTGGCAAAACAAAACTCAATTCATCAGTGTCAGCCCGTGTTTCATGAAAGGCAATTTGTACTTGACAAGCTTGCTGAAGTTCTCAGAGGATATAACCAGCAAGGTAGATAATGGGGATCCATTGGATGTATTATATCTAGACTTCCAGAAGATATTTGTCAAGGTGCCACATAAAAGACTGATCCAGAAGGTTAGATCCCAGGGTTTAAGGCTGGCTTGGATACAGGATTGGCTAACTGATAGAAAATAAAGCATTGGGATAAATGGGTCCTTCAATGGATGGTGAACTGTAAACTAGTGGGGTGTCGCAGGTTTCAGTTCTTGGACCTCAACTATTTACAATCTATACAAATGATCTGTAAGCAGAGACAGAGTGTAACATAGCAAAGTTCATGATGATCCTAAAATAGATGGGAATGCAGGCAGCGATGAGAAGATAGAGAGCTTATAGATGGATATTGAAAGGTGAGGAGATTGGGCCAGAATCTGGCAGATCGAGTTGAATGTGGACGAGTGTGAGGCCATCCATTTTGGCCAGAAAAATAAAAGGGAAAATTATTATTTAAAAGGGAAGCAGATTCAAAGTGCATCATTGCAGAGGGATCTGGGTGCCTTTGTGTATGATTCGCAGAAATGAGTGTGCAAATGTAGCATACAATAAGAAAGGCAAATGGAATCCTGGTATTTATTGCAAAAGGACTGGATTATAAAAATAAAGAAGTGTTGTTACAATTGTGTAAGTTGTTGGTGAGAGCACATCTAGAATATTGTGTCCATTTCTGGTCTCCTTACTTGAGGAAAGATGTGGTGGGACTGAAAAGCAGTTCAGAGGAGGTTCACAAAGTTGGTTCAAGGGATGAAAGGGTTGTTGTATGAGGAGCTGTTGAATAATCTGGGCTTGTACTCGCTGGATTTCAGAATGGGGAATTGACTGAAGTATACAAAATGCTAAAAGGGATCAATAAGGTGGACCTTGAACACATGTTCCCCCTTCTGGGACAGTCTTGAACAAGGGGGCATAGATATAGAGATGAGGAGAAATTACTTCTTTCAGAGGGTTGTGAATCTGTGGAACTCACAGCCACAGAGTGTGGTGGAAGCAGAATCAATCAAAAGACTCAAGAAAGAAATAGTTATGTTTCTGATTAAAAGCAGGATAAAGAGCAATGGGGAGGAGGCAGGAGAGTGGAGTTCAGACCGGGATAAGATCAACCATGATCATGTTGAATGGCTTGATGGGCTGATAATTCCTATGCTCTGATTTTCCAATAGCCAAATCAATCATTTAATATTAAGAAAGGTTTAGATTTGTTCAGAAGAGCAGCAGAGGCCATAAAGAAAAGATTATCACCAGGAAAAAAAATCAAACAGGAAATTCTGAGGGAACCTCTTCAGCAGCAGTGGTGAGAATGTGGAACTTGATCTCTCAGGGAGAGGCTGAGATGTAGTTCAGGAAGGTTGATCACCACAAGTGCTAGGGAAGAGAAGAGAATACTATCTAACCTCATTGTGTTCGATGAGGAAAGGTGAGAGGAGGCTCAAGAAAAGCAACTTTAGCATGGAATATTTGTTTTAATTTTTATATCCTGTGTATATTGTATGTAAAAAAAAATTTAAGCAGTCCAAAATTTACCATCACGTTCATCTCCATAAACTTCCCTTTCAGCAAGTCCAGTTGTTTCATTTACAGCAGATCAAGGGCAACTAGTGATGGGCAGTAAACGCTGGCTCAGCCAGTGACACCCACAGCCCATGAATGCATTTAAAACAATCTTGATCTTATGGCCTAAAAAAGACATTGAAACAATGTATTATTGTGCACCGTATGACAGCACACTCCTCTTATTCTGAAACCTCTGACAGATTGTCAGAAATTTAAGAGGACACCAGTTTAACCCTGGATTTATACACAACCTTTCACATGGTCAAAAAAACACCCAGAAGCACAACAGAAGGAAATGATAAAGCACAAGGTGAGACTGAGCCACATGAAGGGGCATGAAGACCAAAAACTTGATAGAACAGGTAGGTTTTGTCAAGTGTGTTAAAGGCAGAAAAATTAGGGTAAGGGGTGCAGGGAGGGAATTTCAGACTTTATCAGTGAAAGTGCAACCACCAATGATGAAGCAACTGAAGTGAAAGCAAATCCTGCAGGTGTTGGAAGTCTGAAATAAAGACAAAAAATACTGTAAGTATGATATGTTCAGCAATTAGAATTTGTGGTTCACAAGAGGCCAGAATTAGAAGAGTTTGGATATCTCAGACGCTGTGGAGCTGAAATGTTTTATGCAGATAGGGAGTGATGAGCCTTGGGAACAATTTGAAAACAGTGAGCATTTTGAAATTCAAGATCTGGCTTGACAGGGAGTTGAAGTGGCTCACAAGCAAAGGACTGAAGGTGAATGGAATGCAGTGTGAACCAAAACATGGACAGTCGAGATTAAGATGACCATAAGGTTACTTTTGTTGACATAGCAGTTACTGTGATGTTCCTGAGGATGTTTTTGGCTTTACTGAGAAGCAGTCAGAGCAGTCCCAATAATGGAACTGCAGCCAAAATGAGAATCCAAGAGCATTTTTCATCCCAATCACTGAGGAAGCTTTCTGGGACACTTTAACTTGAGTTGGAATCTCAAATTTGGAGAAGTCATCAGAGCATATATTCAGGGGCTAGCTTAGTCTCCGAATCCGAAGGTGGGAACTGAATTGGTTGCCAATATTTGTGATACTGAGCTAGCTGACACAGTCCAGGTGAATGTACAATCCAACACTGGTCAGGCTTTAAAATGATTCTTTCTGGAAACTCCGGTGATGAAATTGCCTGCTCCAGTTTCAGCTGGAGACCACCATGCTGAAAAGGGAGGGACAAATTTATTTCCAGAATTCTAATACCCCCAAAGTCCAAAAGTTTAACAGCCATCCATTTTAATGTCAGGTGCTCATTAAATTGATTCAAGATGAACCTTGGTCCCATGGGTTTCACATGTTAAGCTGAAATGGAGATCAGAAGTGCACAGAGCTGTGTCCAATTCCTTCCACCAAGGCAGACCTGAAGAAAAGTCTGATTTCCTAGATCACAAGTGGAGGTTACCCAAAGCTGTTCAGTGGAAAGATCGGGAGACACAATCCCACACCCTACACACTGTGTGTATCAGTGATGGACAGGACACAGCTTCCAATCTGATCCTAGATTTAGAAATTATTATTGCGTATGTTGCAGCCTGAATTCTGAGTACATCTTTTGATATGACCAGGAATGACCGATTCCTCGATGATTCCCATTATGGGTTACCTGGTGGACATTCGTCATGTATCTGTGTACGGAAGTATATTTGCCATTGCTGATGTGGCACTTTGTGTGGGATTTGCAATCGGTGAGTCAATACAATTGTCTTCTTTGATGTATTTTTGCTTAAATATAAGTCTCTCAGTCTCTCTGAAAGTGTCTAATGATAGAGCTGAGGTGGGCTGTTCGTTTTCCCACCCCAGTGGTCTGAATTGCTGCAAATTAATGCAGTTCCTCTCAGCATAACAACCTTCACTTCTGCAGCTTCTCAATTTTATCCAATGATTATATTTCTTTTATTTCTAAGTTTCCTGCTTTTTTCCATACGGGCACCGCCTCTTGCTGAATGACATTTCAATTGGTAACTGAGACTCCTCTGTCCATCCTCTGTTTTTCAGGTGTTATTGAAGAAAGACCAACAAGGGGACAACTCATGACCTTGTTGATGCTTTCATGCATGCTAAATGACCCATACTTTCCATATTCAGGATTAACAACTGTTTGCCTGCCAACACTGCAAGAAGCTGAAGGGACCACTTATCTGCATCCTAAACTCACTGTAGAGCTTTCAATTAATTTCCATATTAATTAATCATGTCAAAACACCATGGTCAAAATACCAACTCCACTAATATTCCATTCAGTGCTTCTCTTCAACTCAAGGTTGGCATCACACCTCTCACTCATTCTTAATTTTGTTTTCTCATCAATTTTTTCACATCGTGCCACAGTATATTCTGGATAGATTTAAGTTTAACTAACAATCTTCCCTGTGAGCTATTGTTGTAAGGTTTTTTAGAAATCCAAATATGTAAGGAACATACACAGTTTAATTCAATTTTTTTTCGAACAAAATTTAACCACTTCGGTTCCTGGCAGACAGGTAATTAAGTGTGAAAACAGTGCATTATTGTCATCTAATAAAGTCTAAAGGGATGCATGGGGCCTCAGGGATCAAGTGAATGGGTCATGGATACGTTTGTTCAGGATTAATTAGATAAGAATTGTTTGTATAAATATGGGAACTAATAATCTGTGGGTGTGATGTTTATGGAGTCTGTTTACTGAAATAAAGTTCTCACTTAAGGTGTGGACTCAGAACTTTTTCAAAGGAAGTCTCAAGTATAACATGCATGTTTCACATAAAGGATGAATAATTTTGTGCTTACCATCCAGGGCCCTCAATTGGAGGAGCTATTGTCAAAGCAATTGGATTCCATTGGCTCATGGTCACCATTGGAGTCATTAACATATGCTATGCTCCACTTTGTGTCTTCCTGAAAAATCCTCCCAGCAAAGAAGAGAAAGTGGTAAGAGTGGTTATTTTATAAAGACAATTTCCTTCAAGTAGGGGTGTGGAGAATGAAAGGATGGGAAGGAAGGAAGGGAAGGGAAGGATGGGAAGGAAGGAAGGGAAGGGAAGGATGGAAAGGAGGAAGAATGGACAGGAAGGACTGAAAGGAATGAAGGAAGGAATGGAAAAGAAGTAAATAGGAAGGAAGGAAAAATGGAAAGGGATGAGTAATGTTTGGAAAAAGAACATGTATTTTTACAACGGCTTTCATCGCCACTACATTACAGCCAATCAAGCACTTTTGAATTGTAGTCATTATTGTGACATACAGCAGCTAATTTGTACACAGCAAGCTTTTATTCATTCATTCATTTATTGCCCATCTCTAAATGTCCAGAAGGCAGTTGTGAGTCAATCACATTGCTTTGGATCTGGATTCTCATGTGGGCCAGACTGGGTAAGGACAGCAATTTCCTTCCCGAAAGGACATTCGGAAACCAGATGGGATTTTCTGACAATTGACAATGGTTCCATGATTATTAGGTTCTTAATTCCAGATCAGCTCCCACAAACAGCTTTGTGATCACAGCCAGATAACCTGTTTCCATGGTGATAGCTATTGAATAACGAGTCGGCAGGATGCTGGGGCTAACTCTGCTGTTGTTCTTAAAAATAATGTGGTGGTATCTTGCACATGCATCAGAGAAAGTAGGCAGAGCCTCGGTTTAATGTCTCAGCCAAAAGGGGACATGTCAGCCTTGAAATATACCCCTATGCCTCAGGTGGTGTTTAAAGCCATCACCCAAGGCTGGTGACAGCAAGAGAGGAAAGAAGGAACTGTCAGTGAAGTGAGTGAGTTTGACAGCAACCAATGGGTGAGTGGGAGCAAATGAGATATTAAGGATGGAGGTGAATGAATGGGGAAGTGAGTGAAGAGCAAATGAATGAATGATGAGCAAAACACAAGTGAGCTTCAAAGCCATTCAGAATTCTGCTCTCACTTCACTGGCCAATTTGCTAGTCATTGGTAAGATTTTAGAGTCCATTATTAAGGACGAGACTGTGGAGGACTTGAAAGTGCATGGTAAAATAGGACTGAGTCGGCATGGATTCGTCAAGGGTAGGTTATGCCTGACAATCTGTGAGAATCCTTCAAGGAAGTAACAATCAAGTATGATAAAGGAGAGCCAATAGATGTGATCTATTTGACCTTTGACAAGGTGCCATAAAGGAAGCTGCTAAATAAGATCAGAGCCGATAGTGTTAAAGGCAAGGTACTGGCATGGATAGAGAATTAGGTGACTGGCAGAAGGCAGAGAATAAAAATCAAAGGGTCTTTTTCAGGATGGCAGCCAGTGACTAGTGGAGTTCCCCAGGGATCAGGGTTGGGACAACAACTATTCACGTTATACACAAATGATCTGGATGAAGGAGCTGAGGGCATTGTTGCTAAGTTTGCAGATGACACAAAGACAGATGGAGGGCTAGGGAGAGTTCAGAAAGTCGGGGGGGGTGCTGCAGAAGGGCTTGGACAGGCTGGGAGAGTGGGCAAAGAAGTGGCAGATGGGATATCTTGTGGGCAAGTGTGAGGTAGGAAGAATAGAGTTTAAGACCATTTTCTAAACTGGGAAAGACTTCGGAAATCTGAAGCACAGAGGGTCTTGGGAGTCCCAGTTCAGGATTCTCTTAAGGTGAACATGCAGGTTCAGTTGGCAGTTCAGAAAGCAAATGCAATGATAGCATTAATTTCAAGAGGTCCAGAATACAGAGCAGAAATGTACTGCTGAGGCGATCTAAGGCTGTGGTTGGACCACATTTGGAATACTGTGAGGCATTTTGGGCCCCATATCCAAGGAAGAATGTGTTGGTGTTGGATGGGTCCAGAGGGGATTTACAAGAATGATTCTGGGGATGAAGGGCTTCTCAAATGAGGAGCAGTTGAGAACTCTGAGTCTGTACTTGATGGAGTTTAGAATGTTCGGGGGGATCTGATTGAAATTTACAGGATACTGACAGAGAGTGGATATGAAGAAGATCCGCTAGCAGAAGAGACTAAGACCCAAGGGAACAGCCTCAGAGTGAACGGATGACCCTTTAGAACTGAGAGGAAGTTGAATTTCTTCAGTCAAAGGGTGTTTAATCTGTGAAACTCATTGCTGCAGAGGGCTGTGGAGCCCAAGTCATTGAGTGTATTTAAGACAGAGATAAATAGGTTCTTGGTTAGTAAGGGGATAAAGGGTTATGGGGAGAAGCCATGAGAATGGGGTTGAGAAACATATCAGCCATGATCGAATGGCAGAGCACACTCAATGAGCTAAAAGGCCTAAATACACTCTAATATCTTATGGTCTATGGTCTTATGGAAACCAGTGAATGGTTTTCATTCCAGGCATATTGAGGGGCATTTTTCCAAGAACAGAGGGTTGAGTTATCTCTATGCTTGTCTGGCTTAACGCTAAATGGATAAAACCCAGTGTGTGATTTTCCAGTCCATTAATATTTAGGCCTCAAATATATCCTCACACCATTGGAAAGAAAGAAAGGAGTTTCAAACAAACCAAAATTCATAACACATCTCTGATAAATGGATACTACTGATGGCCGAGGCTCAGATTATGCTTAGTTGGTCCCATCTTCCTGTGCTTTAGAGTCTTTTGGGCTTTTTGGGATGACTTGTGAGATGAAGGCTGTCCTCCCACAGATAAACATAAAATATCTCCTGGTCGTATCTGAAGGTGAGCAGGGGAGTTATCTCCAGTGTCCTTGTAAAATATTTATCCCTCAATCCAAATCGCAGACCAATAGGTCATTATCACATTGCTGTTTGTGAGCAAATGGTCATATTACCTATCCTGGAATCGTGACTCCACTTCAAAAATGCTTAATTGACTGTGAGTGGTCTAGAAAAATTTTAGGGTCATAAAGGGCACTTGATAAATATGAGTTCTCTTCTTTCGAGAAGCAGTGAATGCGCAGAATGCAGTCCTGGATGTCTGATATTGACATATGAACAGTTTATGTTGAATGGATAAAACAGTGGTTAAAAAATGTCATTGGATGTCAAAGCCCTAACTATTTTGCTTTTATTAACAGGCAATTTTGTCCCAGGAAAATGCCATGAATACTCATCATTACACTGCTGAGAGGGACAGCCTGGAATTTGCCATAATGGAGGCCAGAGATGAGGAAGCAGGGAATAAGGAGTAAATTCAGAATAAAGGCTAGTACACTGATGGTCAATGGTCTATAACTCCTGTGTTCCATTGACATTCCTTTTAAATAAAGGCACACCTTTGTTCTCTTTGCAAGAATCTCAAATCAGCAGTCCTGCATTACACAACATGGCAGTACAGATACCATCATGGAGCCATTGTACTTGAAAAGGCAGACATAAAACAGAATATAGAAACTTGTGTTGATTCTACAGCACTGAAACAAGTTCTTCCAATGAGTCAGCAGTTATGCTCCACCAAGCCTCCTCTCACACCACTTGCTCAAAATCTTTCAATACATCTTTCCAGTATTTTCTTCCCCATGCACTGATCAAGCTTTCCCTAAGATGCAACTGTGCAATTTGTCTGATCTACTCCAAATGGGAGAAGGTTCTACACTTGAACCACTCCTCAGGAAAAGTATCTCTTTCAGAATTCTTAAATGGTTTTACAGATGGCTGTTTTCTATTCATGGCCCTATGTTTGGTCTCCCAGAAGGAGACGTTGTTTAAGGCAATTAGCCTGAAGGGTTAACCTTCACAGAGCTCCATTCAACAGGATATATGACTGTTTCTATATATGGGAGGAGCTGGTAAATTCTAGTTGTCAGTGTGTTGTGTCCCCTGTTTGTCTGACCTTCGCTGTTAACAGCCACATAACTGAGATGAGCTTGGTATCTCTTCGGAGATAATCAAATCTCCTCTCATTGTCAGATTGTTAACCTGTCAAAACTTCATCTAATCTGTATCTTAATGAGTACGTAATAAATGCTTCTTGTTACTCAAACATGTGCCTCTTTTGATGAAAACTTGTTGTGGTTGTTATTCTTTAACCACTTATTGGAGTGAGGCCAATAGACAAATATTATGAGGGTAGGGGGCAGCACTTTATTCTAAAACAGATGCCAGCAGAGCCAATTGTGGAGAGATAAAACATTTTCTTAAATTTACATCTACCCTTACAAAACCTTTCAGAATCTTAAAGACTTTGATTCAGTCATGCCTCCTACCTTCACTCTTCTCTTTTCTGGTCTGTTCATCCTTCTCTGATCTCCTCAAAATTCTGAAATCATCATTGTGGATCTTTCTTTCACACTTTCTGCATTGCCTCTATGTCTTTCTTATTGGCTGAGACCAGAAGTGACTGCATGGCTCCTCAATGTGGCCCAACCAAAGTTTGATACAAGTTTAACATCAGTTCTGAACTGCTTTTCAATTCAATCGATTGGAATTCAGTAACCAAAGGTTGTATGTAAACTGTGTTGCTATTTGCAGTGATTTATGTTTCTGTGCCATTGATCATTTGGACCGTTACAATACAAACAGCTTGTGGCTTCCTTCTTCTCAGTACCAAACTGGAACATCTCAAACTTAAGTGTAGTAAAATTGATTTACCAATTACATGTCCATTCAGCAGGTTTCTTGATATCTTTTTATTTTGCCAATTTTCCTTGATCACCATTTCCTGCCTTTTGATTGTCTGAGTCACTCCCATTAACCTTCAATGCTGTGTTTTACAGAAAACTTTCTATTCATTTTGTAAAGTCAACTATGATACCAATTCCAATGACCTTGTCCAATGGCCAGTCAAACATTTGGATTGTGCTGATTTTTAAGTGCTTCCATTTTAAGGTTTTAGATATTTTTCAGTTGCATGAAAGGTTGCATTATCTTTCCAACCATGAAATTAACTTCACTGGTTTCAAGATCAGGTGGACAAGTACAGCTGTACTCTTGTGTAGGTGTACCAGTATAACCAGTACTTGAACCTAGGTGTGCCAGTATAACTAGTACTTGAACCTAGGTGCGCCAGCATAACCAGTACTTGGGCCTAAGTATACCAGATGTGCCACTATATGAATGTGCACCAGCACAGCAGTATTTGAGCGTAGGTGGACCAGTACAACAGGACTTGAGCATGGTTGTACCAGTACAGAGTTGAAAAATGTTTTGATACACAAAAGAGTTCTGGAATATGAGGGGCAGACAGATAAGTTGACTTGATACCACTACCAGATCAGCCATGATCTGATTGAATGGTGGGGCCAGGTCAAAGGGCCAAATGGCCTGTCCCTGTTCCCAAGTTCTTTGTTCCCAATGTCACTAGTCCAGATTTTACACCATCTTGCCGCTTTTGCTGTCAGGGATTGGTCTTGCCAAGTCTGTGTGCAGTAACTTAAGTCTGTGACAGTGCACGCCAGCTCCCTCTGTATGGGATTAAAAATACTGAGCAGGGGAGACATCGGAGTAAGTGCTGATCAGATGTGCCAAGCACATTCGTGAGTTGCCACTTGTGTGAAGAAGTGAGGCGGAGCTAAGGTCAGTTCAACTACGAGATATACTGATCAATGTGGCTGCAGCAGACATTGCATGATGTTGTTTCCAAAGAAGTGGCACAGAGCACACAGCAATAATAAAAGAATTGCCACAAAAGTAACCAATGATAAGGGCATATTCTACACCTGTTCTCTTTCTCATGGACAAAGAATTAAGAACAAGCCAGATCAAAATCACTGGAATTAATGACATCAAACAAAGGACCTGCTTACAAAAGCAACATTTGATTAAAATTCTACTCCACTTCCTTTCGCAAACAGCTTGTCTGCACACTCACATGCATGGTGTTGCTGACATGTTTTATACTGTTTCATTCAGTTGCAAGTTGCTGCTTCAAATTGCAGGGATGAACAGATGTCTTTGGAGCTGCCGACAGAACAAGGGCATCGTGCCTGTGGAATCTCATTTCCATGTGATTTGGGTCAAAGGAGATTTGCGTAAATACACCAGATGAGGAACATGGAGGTGCCTTTACCTTCCAAGTGTCAGAGGCACAGGAGAAAATGAGGAGCTCCGATGCTTTCCTACTAAAGAGACCCCACAAACCCAGAACTTAGCATCATATTCCCTTTCAAAGAAAAACAGTTTGCACCGTTGACAGAGTGAAACAGTTGCAGGCATTTTGCAGGTTTGATGATATAAAACTGACCTTTAGTCAGGGATGGAGTGGTTTGGTCAAAGGCATGCACCTGAAAGAGTATCTTACAGGAGGAAATAGTGAGGGAGAGAATTCCATAGCTGATGGCCAAAGGGACTGAAGGCACTGCACCAATGGTGGGAGGAAGGAAGTGCAGGGAAGGCCAAGGTCAGAGTTCTCAGAGTTGTTGGGCTGGACGTGATGGCAGACAATACAACCTTTTCGTTTGAGCTTTAGGTGAGGATTAGAGGTGAGAAAGGGCCGGCACTCCACTTCTGTCCAATAAAATCAAATCGCTGGTTAGACCTCAACTGGAATGTTGAATGGAATCTCGTCCAGGTATTGTGAGTGTTGCCTGTTTGCTGCAAAGCTGGAGGATGACACACGTTGTCTCCTTTCCTCAAGTCTACCAGGGCAGATACAAGCCTCTCCCTGGAGTCAAGACCCCAGGGAGGGATGTCTCAGCCACTCAGAGGCCGGGCAAAGCATGCACTCAGCAGCACTACCAAGGAGGATGAAGCAGATGCAGGAAGAACACCCATTGCAAGTCCTACATTTGTGAAGTAACATGGGATACAAGTCAGTGAGGTCAGACTGGGGTGAGGGGAGGGGTGCAAATTTCAATGGGGTCAGGCGTCATAGTGTTGGTAGCAGGGGCAAGGGAGGTGAGTGTCACTGGGCTCAAGTCCCTTGACCCTGGTACTGAGGACTTTTGATTAAAACTCAGATGTTTGTCTCTTGGTTTAAGAATAAGTTCTGTGTGACCTTAGACCAGACTTGTTCCCACAATGGTGCACTTTCCTATGAAGTGAAATTGGGCAAACTAGAACTTTATTCTCTCAAGCCTTAAAGAACAAGAGGTCACCGCATTGAAACTTACAAAACACTGAAAAAATAGATTAAGCGAAGAAGTTTTCCCTGGTTGGGGAGTCTAGAATGAGAGGACACATGTAAAAATAAGGGGGATATCACTTTGATCTGAGAATGAGGAGAAATTCTTTCACTCAGACAGTGGTGAATCTTTGAAATTCTCTACCCCAGACGGCCGTGGGAGCTCAGCCTTTGAGCATGTTTAAAATAGAGATTGACAGATTCCTGATGACCAGTGGTGTACAGGGTTATGAGGATGGGGTGAGTAAAGGCAGTGAAGTGCTTGCTTAAACGTGATGATATTGTATGGTGGGGCAAGCTTGACTGACTGACAGGCCAAGTCCTGTTCCTATGTTCCAATAAATAGACTATTTTGAGCTAACAAGGTAAAGTCACCACATTCTTATCTGAACATACGGTTGCTCTCTCATCAGAGAGAGACAACTGGTGGTGGTCTAACCTAAGGGCTGGCACATCTTAAGCAAGGGGGAAGAAATGAAGAAGGAAAGTCCTTCATGGTAACCTCAGCCAGTGTGGAAATTGCACCCATGCTGCCAGTATCATTTTGCATCACAAAGCAGCCAATGAGCGAAGTAGAGAAGCTTGGTGAAAGCTTCCTTTATTCTGAATACTAATGGAAAAAGGAATTACAGTTGGCCATTTTGGTGAATGAAACAAATGGTGTGACAGGCAGATTAGTGCAGCTTGATGTGTCATAATAACAGGGTTTCTGCACCTCACATGGCAACAGTCCTGAGTTAATCCTAGTGGTGATGGGGTGAGACTTTTAAATAGTCACTAATTGGACAATTAAGGGCCTCATTTGGCAGCACGGCAGGAAGATCAACTGTGAGCTGTCCCCTCCAAGGAACTTAATTCTGAGAGAGGCAAGAAGGTGGTAGGATTGAGCTATGCCAAACGCGACTTATTTTAGTCCCGTTCCCATCTCCAGCTCACCACCAAAAGATTCCACCCAATGTGTCCACATCTGGGCACTGCACTTTAAGAAGGATGCCGAGACCTGGGAGAAGGTGCAGAAGAGATTCACCAGAATAACAAAAAGGATGAGGGACCTCAACTCAATGTTGAGGCATGGAGGTTGTAAAGGTGTCTCATCAGAAATTGAGGTGCTGTTCCTTTAACTCGTGTTGGGGTTTGCTGGAATAATGCAGCAGGCCACAGATGAATATGTTTGCATATAACCAGTGGAGTGTTTACAACAACTTGGATGTATAAGTTTCTTCTGACATAAAGATAGTACGAAAACTTGTTATAAGGAGAACAAAAAAATAAACTACAAAGGGTCATGAATAAGTTGAGTGGACAATAATTTGATAGATGGAGAAAAATGTGGAAAAATGTGATTTTGTCCACTTTTTCAGGAAGAATTGAAAGGCAAAATTAGGAAGGCAAATGGAGTGTTGCTTTTATTAAGGAGGGGGATGCAACACAAAAGCTGCTACAACTGTGCTGGGCATTGGTGAAACTATACCAAGTATACTGTGTGTTGTTTCATTCTCATTCCTTCAGAAGAGATGTTTATGCATTGGAAGTAGTTCTGACAAATTTATTCGGCCCACGCCTGGAGTGAGGGATTCTCTTCTGAGGAAAGATTAAGCAGATTGGACCGAGACTCAACAGATTTTCGCATGATTGATTGATAATCACATTGAAACAAGTAAGACTCTGAACTGCTTGAAAGGATTGTTGAAACGACCTCATCCCGCCCCCTTGACCTGTCCATCCTTCCTGGACTGACCTATCTCCTCCCTACCTCCCCACGTACACTCACCTTTACTGGCTCCATCCCCGCCTCTTTGACCGGTCTGTCTCCTCTCCACCTATCTTCTCCTCTATCCATCCTCTATCCGCCTCC